ACCACTCAAAACAGAAGCAGAGGAGGAAGGTCTCAGGCAGATCTGTGAGGATGGAGGTAGAGGAAAAGATCAAACGACCTTCCAGATGCCTTGAGTAAGAATGCTGCAGGTTCTTTGCCAATCGCTGATCCGTTGCAGTGTCCAACCTTTTGACACTGTGACATGACATTGTCATCTATAAATATGTTGGACTGCTTTCATAGCTATCCAGGGACACATGAGGACATGCTAGTGTTAGAGGAATCTGCACATTTCAAGATTTCAAATAGAATTTTTAACCCAGAAAGAAATTGTGTAATTATTAAAGCGAGTTGTGCTTTATATCAAAGTTATAGCTGTTTGTGTAAATGAAATGCTTTGCAGATTTTATCAGTGTGGGATAGAGAAAGTCATCAGTTACAATTCCCAGAGACTTCTTCTAATGGCAATATGTGTGGTGAGTTTTTCCTTTCCTTCTCTTCTGTTCTGAGATCACAGCTAGCCATGAAAGAGCATAAGGATGGAAGTGAGCTGCGTGGCCTCCAGGAAGAGACGTGACCTAGTGACTTGCTTGCAGTATATTGATTCTTAAAAGGAAAATGATCTGCAGTGTGCCTTGGGTGAAACAGTCCTGATCCCTCTCTGTTAGTTCCCAGAAATGCAGCTGTCTGATCTTTCATGATGAGCTTGCTCAACCCTTGAAGGAAGTTGGGGATAGGTAAGGAGCTATTCCAGCTAAAGGCAACAACTCTACCTACAGACTCCCTACACAGGCTACTGTTGCGCTGGAACTTTCTCTCTACTCTTTAACTTCCCTCTTTGATTTTTAAATGAATGTAAATCTTATGCAGACTTACACTGTGATGCCCACCGTTATCTACAACTGGATTGTCATGAGCAGGCTCTGTCCTTTGCTGGTTCCCCCCTGCACAATCCTAGTGTAGTTAGAAAGAGGCAGAATCATGACACAAACACACAGTATCTATCACGGAAATCGAATGATTGCAAACTTCTGCAACATAGTCTTCATTTTCCTCTTTCCTGAAGGGAGATAAGATTATTCTTGTTTAAATAGAATTTATAGGTAGTCTGAATATTTCAACATTTACTTCTGAAATATAAGCACTTTTTTTGTGAGGCAAACACAGTTCCACTATCATGCCTAACAAGAGCCACATAATTTTTAACATTGTTAACTATTTATTCACATTTTAAATTTCCTTATTTGTCCCCTAAAATGTAGTTTTAAAACTGTGGTAAGTTGTACATAATGTGAGGCATTCTATTTTAACCATACAATTCAGTGGCATTAAGCACATTGACAACATTGTGCAACCATCGCCACGATTTCCAGATAATAACTCGACCATCAAGAGTCATTCCGCTTCCTCACCCCCCCCCCCAATGTCTTGTGATTCTGTTTAATTCAAACAAGATCTCATACTTCATTCAGGCATTCTGTTTATTAAGACTTTTTCTCTCTAGCATTGTCTCCTCGATCTATGGTCACATGCTCTGCGTTCTCATGACATCAGCTTTTTGTTGTCTGATTATTCCATGGAATATCCTGTGCTCTATATTATCCAATTGCCTCTTTATGCTATTATTGAACTTGTTCTTCTCTGTGTTTCTTGTAAACTGGAAGTTAGATCCAAAGGCTTGGTAAGAGTCAGGTACACCCTTGGGTAAAGTTCTCATGGATAATTCTGTACGCTTCCTACTGCATCATTTGAAGCCAGACATAATGTCTGATTGTCCCACAATTGGTGAGACTAATATGGAGTCGGGGGTTAAGGAGACAGTCTCCTATTAAATAAAGTTTAAAAGATGAGAATTGATTATTGAACTTTTAGAAAGAATTACCCCTGCCTTAAATACTCATGTCATGTTGCCCAGCACGTAGGACACAGTCTTCATCTTAGAGAGAGGAGGTGGAGAAGCTGGATGTGGAGATATGGACCCGGACTCTCAGCATTTGAGATGTGGAAGTAGGAGGATCAGGAGTCTAAGAAAACAGCCCCAGCTATGAGAGAACTTGCCTAAAAAACAAACAAACAAACAACCACAGAAGACAGAGGAGGAGGAGATCAAAGGATGGAGACAAAGACAGAGACAGAAATATATATACGGAGAGAGAGATTAGCCTGTTTATGGAGTGGATGCCATGCTGAAGCTCTAGTTTATCCCAATGGGTAGCTGGCTAATCAGCACAGAATGAAATATGAGCTCTGGAAGAGACTATGTGTTCTTTGGGCCCCAGAAGATTCTCCCAGCCTGGTCATTAACCAGAATTTCACCATAGGCAATTTTTTTCCTGACTCTTAACTAATGACAGAAAACTTTGGAAATTCAGATATTGGAGAATTGTTTTTACAATGTTCTAAAATAAGTTGTGTGTGTGTGTGTGTGTGTGTGTGTGTGTGTGTGTGTGTGTGTGTGTCTTGACAAATCACTTTATGTTCCAACATTTAAGAATTAAGGAAGAGCATAGATTTGGACAGCAGTAAATAGATCTTTGGTTGTTTGCTGTGCAGCACAGATTTTAGAACAGGGGAAGCTGATCTCTTCTTCTGTGCCTCCTCTCTTGACTTTTAGCTGCTATGGACTGAAGAGCCAACTCACTGAAGACTCACAAAATTAAGTTAAAGAATTTCATTGTTATTTTTAAACTAAGAATTTGAACCTCTCTGAAAAAAATAAGTTAATTTTAATCTCCAAATAAATACTTTGTTTTAGAGCAGTTAAATCCTGTGTCGGCTAGCCTCTGCCCAAGGTTGCCCTGGATTTCTGGGTCCCCAGAGGGCTTTTTGGTTCCTATTGTCTATTTATGTTCATTTTTGTTTTGGTTATGTTGTTTTTCATCGAGGTGGTTGTTGTGAATTCTCTGCTCAGAGAACCAGAGTTTAACCTCAGGATGCTGTTAGATTTGTGTTTTTGATTTTGCAGCTAGAATTAAGTCATAGACCTTCTTTCCGTTTCTTGTTTAACTTTTAACGACTCTAGAGTCAACCAGTTACCAACCAGATAGGAAAGGTGATTTTTAAAAAATCTCTTTGAGGGACTAATTCCTTGACAATAGCACCCCTGAGAGACCTGCATGGCCACACATCCCATGTCTATTTAGGATTGCTAATTGTTTGGAGACAAAGAGCCCACAGGGTTCATCACCAAGGCCCAGTAGTCTACAGTCTGCTCACTGCCTTTGCTCCCTCCTTCTCTTTTTCTTCCTCCCCTGTCCTCCTTCCTTTCCATGGGTAGCACGGGCTGGCATGCTTCTCCGATTCTCCCGATTTCCACTAGCAAACTTGTTTTCTCAAAGGACCCTTCTGCTTCACATCAGCCTGTGGTTATGACACTCCGTGGAATCCAAGGAGTGGAGGACTCCCAGGGGAGGACAGGCTGTGCCTGGGTCTAGGTGCTGAACTCCCGCTGGCCAACTTCCACCCGTTTGGAACTGCCAGCTGCAGTTTCTAGGCCAGGTTCTTCAGACTCTCAGAGTTCTGTGGGGGATTATATCAGAAGCACTTGAACTACATCCAGTACTTTAAAATGCCTGGGAAATGTTACATATCACCCCCAACAAAGCCTGAAGAGATTGACTAGAATAATGAAAAACGTCATCCTTCGGTGGGGAGGGGTAGGAAGTCGTGGGGAGAACACGTCAGGTAGGTCACTGCAAAGACCAGAGCCCGTATGAAGAAACTCCGATTGCCGTGCCATCCAGTGTAGACAGAGTATACAGGGCTGGGGTTGGTACCATAGGCTGGCGATCCCAGCACTAGGAAAGCTCAATTGGGATGACCTTGAGTTCAAGGCCAGATTGAAGCTATTTAGTGAGACCCTGTCTGGAAAAAAAAAAAAACAAAATAAGGTGGAGGTTGTAGCTCAGTTGGTAGAGCATTTGCCTGGCATGCACGAAGCCCTGAGAAGCCCCGGGTTCCATCGCCAGCATTGCATACTGGGCATAATGGCACATGCTGGAAGTCCCAGCACTTGAGAGGTGGCAGCAGGAGGATTAGCAGCTCAAGTTTGTCCTTAGCTACAAGTTCAAGGCTACCCCGGGTGGCATGAGACTGCCTCAAATAATCAAACCAAAAGAAAACCACCATCACCAAATAATAATTAATAATAATAACAAAGTAAGTATAAAAGAAAGAATATAGTTGTAAAAATGAGGCCAACTAGAATTTAGTTTTCAGTAAGAAGATGTGGACAGTTTACCTTCCATCTCTGAACCTCAGTTTATTCATCTATAAAGTAAGGCTGATACTTTCTATTTTGTGATGATTTCAACTAATATGTATTATTCATCAATTCAATGCCTACAATAATAAAACCTTATTTTTTCATAAATGTAGTTTATTTATAGATAAAAATCTATACTTAAACCTCTTGCATGTGTGGTGGGGTGTGTGTGAATCTGATCATTGAGAACAGAAGTTGGAAAAGACATAGGCTGCACATAGCCACATCAGTCTCCCTTAAGATTCTGTCAAGCCAGGTGTAGTGGTACTTAACAGTGATCCTAACACTGAAGAGGTTGAGGCAAGACACCTCAGTTCAAGGCCACTGTGAGGTACATAACAAAACCCTGTATCAAAAAAAAAATTTTTTAAATTTCGTGTCTAGGAGCAAGGTTCCAACTAGGAAATATACAAGAAAGCCCATACTCTCTGTGCTGACACAAGACCTTATTGCTGTGGATATCGCTCTGTATGCTGTGAATGTGTTGCTCTGATTGGTTAATAAATAAAATGCTGATCAGCCAGTAGCCAGGCAGGAAGTATAGTCGGGACAAGCAGAGAAAGAGAATTCTGGAAAGAGTCAGGAGTCGCCAGCCAGACACAGAGGAAGCAAGATGTGAAGACAGAACTGAGAAAAGGTACCAAGCCACATGGCTGAACATAAATAAGAATTATGGGTTAATTTAAATGTAAGAGCTAGTCAGTGGTAGGCCTGAGCTAATGGCTGAGCAGTTTTAATTAATATAAGCCTCTGTGTGTTTACTTGGGTCCAAGCAGCTGCAGGACTGGCAGGTGAGAGAGATTTGTCCTGACCATGGGCCAGGTGGGACACAGGAAAACTTCAGCTACACCTTATGCTGGGGAAGACAGTTCTCCTGACCACACTGCATTTGCTGAAGCTCACCTATTCCACAACTTGATCCCTTGGTGCGTTTTCTGGTATTGTAACATTTATTTATTATTGTGTGTGAGTGTGCATGACATGGGTACATGCTGTGGTGTCGATGAGGGAATCAGGACAACTAAGTGGAGTTGATTTTTTTCCTTCTACCTTTACATGGGTTCTGGGGACCCAGGTCAGGTTGGGAGGTTTGTGCAGACAATGCTTTTATCCACTGAATCATCTTGTTACCACCCACCGCCCGCCAGCCCTGAGTTAAGACAAGCTTTTAGTTTACAGCCCAGGCTGGCCTTGAACTCACTGCATTCACTCCTCCTGCGTCAGCCTGTCAGGTGCTGGAATTATATACATGAGCCTCCAGCTCTCACCATGATGTTGACACAGCCCGGGCGGTGAGCCACCTGGCTATGTACAGAGACTTGGGATTTGGAGTGGGAAGAAAATAGGATGGAGATGAAGTCCATGGAAAAGATGCCACAAGAGAGGAACATTGGAGCTTAAGTTTTCAGCCTCAGAACACCAAGCCACAGACCTATTTTCCCAGAGGAACCGTGCATTGTCCCCGTCTATCTCAGTCCCAAGGGACTCTCCTAAGTATCTCCCCAACCCCTTTCACCCCCGAGTCACAGCCGTCTCAATGTTCGTCCCTTTCTCTAGACTCACTTGAGAGAGAGTTACCACCTTCTCCACAGTGGCCCAGGTTAACAATGAGGAGCCAGGAGCTCTCTAGCATCCTCTGGAACTCTAGTCACGGCCCCTACTAGATGTTTGGTAGAGCATCATTACAGAGATGACTCCTGGACTCCAGCTTTCAGCATAGTGTTCAATGGTGCAGGCCAGATGGATTTGGAGCATGTATTCTGATTGAAGCCGAATTTATCCTTTATTATTTGAAAGACTCTAACAAGTTTGTTTTTTAATCTTTTCCATCAGCACATTATTATTTATTGTTCTTAATACCTTGAGGCTACTTGAAGACAGTCTTAAATTTCAAAGTTGGTAAGTAAACAAATGTTTCCTAATAACATCTTCAGGCAAGCACCCAAAGGTCTCATTTTCAACATGATGTTTGGGTCCCCCTAATTGTCCTTTAGGATTGTGCCTAACCACATTTATAATCACTTAAAAAATAGACTCTTAGACACAAAGTTGCTTCACAATTTATTTGTTCTTCTTAATCACCATGTTCAGACAAAATGAAAAACAAAGGCAGAAACAAGTAGCTTAAGATCCGGCATTATTTGAACTCTAAATGTATGAAATCACAGAGGCTGTGTTAAGGATTCACATGATAGCTGTTCAGAGATCGTCTCTCACTGGTCCTGAGAGGAGACGTATGTTCAGAGGGGCAGTTAGTGGGTTAGGTAGAGAAACACAGGTAGTCTGTATGGTCCCACGGGGATGTCCACGGCTTCCAGTTTTACTCCAGAGTCTGCTAGAAACTGAGATGTTTAATGCTGAGGTTGGTACTGAATACCTTCTTTTAGAAAAAAAAAGATTTATTTTATGTGTATGAGTGTTTTGACTGCATGTATGTAAATGCACTGTGTGCATGTCTGGTGCCCATGGAGGCCAGAGGGTGCCAGAAGACCCCCTGAAACGGGAGTTATAGATGATTGTAAACTACCACGTGGGTGTCCCCAAGTCTTCCGCAAGAGCAGCAAGTGCTCCTAGCTCGAGGCAACTCCCTAAGCCCTGGAGGTCTTCATTTATCTTGATCATCTGAGACTCCAGATAGGTACTTCTCTCTCTTCCTACTGTGACCAAGAGGAAAGTTGGGAAATAGGGTCAACTAGGCAAATTATGGCAACTGATCCTCAAATCTCAGGGAGTTGACCCGGTACAACTGTACCATTCTTCTCACAGTCCAGAGCACACTTAGAAGAGGAGGTGTGTGACACGGCATCACAAAGCCATCTAGTAATTCTGGTACACAGGCTTCTTCCAAACTGTGACCCTGTCATCCCCAAGGTTCCCTCCATTCAGCCAGTAGGACAGAAATCCTCCAGGAAATACTGCATAGGAAGCTTTATAGTGACGGAGTGAGGAGACTGGTAGCCATGAGCATTTAGTCACAAAAATATGGCCAGTGGTACTCAACTTCTAGAGAGGTTAGGAAGAATGGGCTAGAGCTATATGCCCAACTCACACCAGTTTCTGCCACAGAGGATCCCTCAAGGCAAGCATATAGTCTTGTCCTATGTCACCAAAAGTGTACAAAGTAAGTGTGCTGCCGTTTTTGATTCAGTCAGGCCTAGAACTTACACTTGGCTCTTAGTTATTTTAGGGGAAAAAAATCTGTCCTTCAGCATCAGTATCTGTCTCGTGATTTCCATGAATCAGTTCACATAGGAACTTGCTTGTTTTTACATAGGCCTCTCTAGAGTCTCCAGATACCTGGATGAAGACGATGTAGAGGTGTGGACTGTAAACTGCTCTTAAGCTTGCTCCTTGCCTGCCTTACCTGATGGTTCCCGTGCTAACACTGGCTTGGGATCTGCATGAAGCCACGTAGATTATCTAACAAAACTATCACATAAGACCTATGAGATTATAATAGTGTTATAAGCATTTAAAAAATTACTTCATACCTGTGTTAGTCCATAACAAAACTCTGTAAGTTGAATGGTTTGTACACAGCGGACATTTGTGTCTCACCATTTTGGAAGCAGGAAAACCAGCAGCTTTGGTATCTGCTGAAGGCTGCTTTCTGGTTCATGGATGAAACCTTCTCACTGGGCCCACACGTGGCCCAAGAGGTGAGAGGGTCCCTTTGGGGACATTCTTTCTTTCTTTCTTTTTTTTTCTTCTATTATCAGCTTGATACAGTACAAATTCTTAACCTAATAGTGAAATGTTTCACTGAAGCTTGTCCAAAGCTTGAGTAAACCCAAAATTTATTATACGCCACAGTCATTCTAGGGTCCCTTTGGGGACATTCTTATGGGACCTGGGCCTGTGAGCTAATCACTTCCTTGAGTCCCATTTCTAAATCATTTTAAGGATTAGATTTTGATGTATGAATTTGAGGGAGACATAAACCTTCAGGCCATTGTGACGCTTCTTCAAAAAATATTTTAACAGTGTTTGGAAGGCTTTGATAGGAAGTTTGTGAGTTTGAGGCTGGTCTGGACTCCAGAAGCCATACCTCGACTCAAAAAAGAAAAGTTTTTGTTTTTTAATCAATCAGCATACTTTTTGTAGTTGTCATGGTTCCGTAATCGTCTGCAACCTTTCTTCCTGTGTCCCTCATTAACCAGTTTACAAAGGCTATTTCATAGTCCAGCCATGTTAGAGACATTATTTCTCCCCATTCACTCCCATTGCAGCTTTAGCTTTCTCAAGTAATGTTGCTCATTTCTTGTACAATGACATGGACTGTGAGCCAACACAGACAGGTCGTGGTGTCCACCAGGAGCTGTTTTTCCAGTGTTGGTGACTTTAGCTGGTTAGACTAGACTTTTCTTTTCTAATCAGGTTATACCTTTGTGTGACTTATGGGGTTAAGAGTACAGTCTTTGTGAATGTGTACGTTCATTTCTTTATGCATTTAACCATTCCAAAATATTTATTGATTACCTTTTGTAGACAGTGTGTTAGGTACTGGAGACAGGACAAAGAATAGTAGGTATAAGGTCTTTGTCCCATGGAGCTTATTAGAAAAACATATTCTAAATAAATAATAATGCTAAATATTAACTATAATTGTTATGCTTATATGACAAACTTATTTTCTTCCTAAACTTGGATAATATTGAATCATTATTTTTTTCTTTCAAGTGAGTCTGTTCCATAAAACTAGCTTTTTCCCTTAGAGTAATTATTCATTGCTTCTTCTAGTCATTTAAAACGTTCATTCATTCAATATAAAACTACTTATCAAGATCTTTGCTAAGTTTTCAGAATACAAACATGAAATGACAAGATTTCCATCTTCGAGAGTCACAGTATGGATTTCCCGTACTGTTTTCTGGTTGCTGTGCCAGGGTTTCCTGACTGAAGAGACTTAAGGAAGGAAGGGTTTGTCTGACTGACAGTTCAAGGGTTAGTCCATCATGGCGGAGGAGGAATGGTAGCAGAGGCATGAGGCAGCAGGTTGATCGCATCTGCAGTCAGGAACGGCAACGGTGTGTGTGTGTTCTCCTGTCTAATTCTGCTGCTCCTTGACACCGGCTGGTGGGATGGTGCTGCCCACATTTAGGGCAGATCTCCCACTTTAGTTAAACTTTTCTGGAAACATCATCAGAGACATGTCCAGAAATTTGTCTCCTGGATAATTTAGTCAAGTTGATAGTGAGGATTAATTATCACACATGTCCATAATGCTAACTCTTGGATGGCAGAGGCAGGAGGATTACAAGTTTGAAGCTACATAGTCAGTTCCAGACTAGCCTGGGCTACCTAGAGAACCTGATTTAAGAAAGGATGGAGAGAGGGAGGGGGAGAGGGAGGAAGGACGAAAGGGAGTCAGTCACAACCTATCTGGTTGGACAGACTGTCCTGCATGTCACACAGAACGGTGTGACCAGTGTCATAATGGAGAAAGGTACACAGCGTAGTGGGACTAGGAAAATGAGGGCTTCCACCTGTCCAAACAAGGAAATGTCTGAAGGAAGCAGCACGTGGACCGACCCGTGTTTGAGGTGAATGAGCCTTTCCTCAGGACATGAGGCAGGAATGGCTTGAGATGTGTTCTCCTCCCCACCCCGAAGTATGACATGGAAAGGGAAGATGAGAAGGAGCCTAAATTGTCAATTTCCCATACTCGGCGAGGCCGGGAGGTCAGGTCTCACTAAAGGAGTGTGAGCAGAAATGGTGTGTTGCATCATGTCCTCGCCAGGGTTGTCATGAACTGGGAATGAAGAACTCGGAAGCTTTAGGGATGGCAGAGCTGTAAAACGGAAGGAACCTGGAGGGACCATTACAGAATACAGAAACCGTCTTCTGTTTTGTAAATCCTGGTACATTACAGCTTGCTTGTTATAGCAGCAAGCTCTGCTATTATTTGTACAAGACATCCAAGCAAAGAGAGCAGTGTAAGCAAGCAGTTGGAAGAGTGTCTGACACGTGGCGCATGCTCAGTATTATACCAAGGGCGTTGTGAGGAAGCAGAAACAGTGTAGTGGTGCCAGAGCCTAAAGTAGGTGGGTGATTGGAAGGCGTGAGGGTGGTATGGCGGGGTAGATAGCTATGTCCTGATCACCAGGAACTCTGAACACCGTCCTGGAGAATGTACCTTTAGTCAAGTGCAAGGGAAACCACTGATGAGTGTAAAAAGGAGAGTGGCATGGCTTTTGGAATAGTAGAATCTCTGTGAAACACTCTAGAACCTGCCTGGATTTTCATCCAACGAAAGGTCCCGATCCAAAGATGAACAACAACAAGATTTTAGAACCAGAAAGCAGCGTAGTCTGGTCAAGTCTCATTTAACAAATCAGGCCCGGGAAGTCCCTTTGCCAAGATCACCCAGCTAACCGCGGCAGAGCTGGGCCTGGAAGGAGAACCGCCTTGTCACCAGCCCTACGCATCCGGTCGCTCCTCCCACTGTGCCACAGCGCTTGCTCCGAAGCAGTGGAGACCAGCTGCTGTGCCTGCATTTTCGGTTCCCTAATGAAGACGTTAGGGATTTGGAGGCAGAGTATTTTCCATGGAAGGCCATCTTTTCTCTAATTCCTCATCTGGCCTGAACCACTATTTTGGAAAAGTGCCATTTTTCAACATCAGATTTCCCTGGGGGACAATCGGGGATGTGCTTAGTGGCCTGCGGGGTGCCCTTGTACTTTCTGAGTTTTCGTTGGGAAGATGAGAGCAAAGTAGCGGTGGTTTGGGATCCTGTAAACACTGCCTGGTCCCTTGGCAGCTGGGTATCTGCTGGCTCACCGAAAAGGGCTGTGGTTCAGCTGGCCCGCTGACCACCTTTAGGGGTCAGAGTCAAACGTCTTCTTCGCTTGTCTGTTTAAAAGGTCAGCCAGCTAAATTATACTATCATTTTCTGTTCATCAGCTCACTGCCTCTGGCTTTTATGTATGGTTAGATTAATCCATTATTCATTTAAATTATTTTCAATCATATGCAGTAGGACATATATTTGTTTTCAATGGCAAGCCGGAGTTAAGGGGCCGCCATCCTGATGCCAGCCTCAGAGAAAAATGACACGTGGTCCGATGTAAGTAGGACAGGCTGGGACTGACCTGTTTTACAGCTGGGGAGCCAGAGCTCAGGCTGAGGAGCAAATTGAGGAAACAGAGGAACGTAATTGGTCAAAGCCTCAGACAGACAAGTGTGGTGTCTCACACGGAATCCCAGTACTCGGGAGGTGGAGGATCACCATGAGTTAGAGTCTAGCCTGAGCTACATCATGTGAGTTCCAGGCCAGCCTAGGCTACAGAGTAAGATTCTGTCTCATTTAGGAATATAGTTCCTAAATGTTTAGTGTTTTCTAATCTATACTTTTATAACCATTGTCTTCCTGTCTTTCCCTGGCACTGTCTTTGCCCTCCTGGCTTGTTGCTCAGTTGAAAGCATGGTTGGTTGGTAATGAAGGTGTGGCATGATGAAGTATTAAGGAAGGTAGATAGGGTTGTTGTCTCGGTCTCTGAGAAGTGCATCAGTGGTTCTTAAGCACTGAGAAGTGTTTGGTTTTTCAAATTAGACAGATGCTTGCTACTCACGACGAGACCTTAGACACATTTCTTAATTTATCTGAGCGTTTGTTTCCTTATTTGTGATGGGGAAAATAACCCCTGTGGTTGTGAGGTGAGATGGTTATCTTGACTGGCAACTCGATTGGATTGAGAGATGCCCAAAAGATGAGAAAAGCAAGCCTCTGGGGATGTCGGTGAGGGAGTTTCCAGAGGCGGTTTAGATGAGGAGGGTGCCGACCAAATCTAGTGGTTTTACCCACTGAGCGTCCATTCTGAATGGATTATTAAGTGGTGGAACTATGGGAGGTGGCGCCTTGTTGGGAAAAGTGAGTTGCTGTGGATGTGCCTCTGAAGGTCCTAGCCGCCTCCTGTTATTTCTCCCTGCTTCCTGGCTGTTACAAGGGGATCAGGTTTTCTTCTCCTCCTTCTTCCTCTGTGATGTTCTGTCTCACCAGGCCCAGAAGCAAGAGAATCAGTCGAGCGTGAGCTGAGCCCTTTGAAACAGCAAGCGAGCAAGCCATTCTTTGCTCAAGTGGTTTCTTGGGTGGTGTGTCACAGCGATGAGAATGCTCACACGAAAACGGTAAATGCACCAGCCCGTGTAAAGTCCCTTCTTGGTGGGAACAGAGTAGGCCCCTAAGTCATTTCCTTCTTGAGATACTGAGAAGATCTCATTCATAACATTTCTTTCCCTGAGCTCCAAAGAGTGAACAGATGAAGACCAAAACTTCTTTCTTAGTCAGTTCCAGTTGTGATAAGGACATGTCAAAGACCAGGTGTGTAGCCAGGCGGTGGTAGCACATACCTTTAAACCCAGCACTCGGGAGGCAGAGTCAGGCAGATCTCTGTGAGTTCGAGGCCAGCCTGGTCTACAGAGTGAGTTCCAGGACAAGGCACCAAAACTACACAGAGAAACCCTGTCTTGAAAAAACCAAAAATAGATAAATAAATAAATAAATAAAAGACCACGTGTGTGATAAATATATTCTTGTTTCTCAAAATTGCAACCACTAGAAGTTCATATCAGGGTACTAGCGCAGTCGGGGTCTGGTGAGGGTCCATCCAGAACCTTCCAGGACACTAAGTGCTGGCTTCCCATGATACCTTTTCATGGAATGAAAGAGTGAAAAAGTTTCCTGTAGAGTCTTTTTTTTTTTTTTTTTTTTTTTTCAGGGCACAAACCCCCCTCACGAGGGCTCTGCTCTCACAACGTAACCACTTGCCGTGGACCCAGTCTCCTAATACCGTCTGCGGTGGTGTGAATGAGAATGTTTCCTACAGGCTCACATATTTGAACACTTGGCACCAAGTTGGTGCTGCTGTTTGGAGAGGTTACAGACCTTTTAGGAGGTGGAAGAAGTATATCATTGGGGGTAGACTTTGGGGTTTAGAGCCTCACGCCTTTTACTGTTCCCTCTCCTTCTTTCCTGTGTGTGGATAAGACGTGATAAGCCGGCTTCCTGCTCCGACGTCCATGCCATGCCTTCCCAACCATAATGCACTCTTTCTCCCTCTGGAACCAAAAGCCAAAAGAAACTCTTCCTTAAGTTGCTTTTGGTCTTGATATTTTATCACAGCAACAAAAAGTAACTGGCAATCTATCCCTCGGCTGGGGGAAATAAGGGTGGTGTGAGAGTAGCATATCCACCCACAGGTTTGGGAGGGAGGTGTTATTCAGCTCATACCAACCTTGACGATTGATAGAGATGAACCGTGAGATCTAATAGGAATGCCATGTTTCACCGCCAGGTAGACAAGCTCCATCACAAGTAACATTTGATCAAGAAAGGCTTGTGCAAGCTGAGGTTGGAAGCTGGGTTAGGAAGAGGATTGTGCTTTGGCGAAGAGCTAAGTGGTAGTCTTATTGTGAGCAGACAGATACAATGAGAGGAAGGAAGACAGAGGTGGGTGGCCTAAGCATGGCCTGTGTGTTCTTCAGCATGGCGTCAGTCTGATGCAGCTACTCATCTACAAGAGGAGGAACGAGGAGGAAGGTAGGCGGAGCCAGGAGAGTCACGCCACAGAGAAGAAAACTCCGGAAGCATTTCTCCCAGTATTTCCCTCCCCTGCGCCCTTTGTTTCCTGCTTATGACTTTGCAGCCACTCTGCTCATGGGAACCAGAGGTGCCAGGGCAGCTTCGGGGTACAAAAGGGCTGGGGGCAAGGTGCATGGCAAGGGTGGAAAGGTTGCGTTGGTCATTGGTTAAGAAAAGCGTAGACAGCTTGAATCTGGAAAGCAGAGTGTAAGTTCAGGAGCAGAGCTCAGAGGTCTGAAGGGCGGAGGAACTGTCAGAGACCTGTCCCAAATAGGAGTTGGAATCCCCAGTCGTGGAAGCAGGGAGACGGGGCCACAGGTTTCGGATGGCTTTGGAGCTGACTTAGGAGATCTGGAGCCTGTATCTCTTGGAGATGGCTCTCATCTGTGGCACTGGGTTCTATTACACTCTGCTCCAGCTTCCAATCTTTAAAACATAAGCCTGTTTTGCGATCATAAAGCTCACACATGCTCAACATGAAAAATTCAGAAATGCAGAGGAAAATAAAGAAGAAATGACCTGTAATTTCACCGCACGGGAAAGCTAATGTTAGCATCGACTGCGGCTCTAGTCAGCCTTCCTCCTATGCATATGATTACATCCATAAGGTGATTCTGTCTACACGGTTTAATTTTGCATGCTGATTTTTTTTACTTAAATGATAATATAATCATTTCCCCATGTTATTAAGAGTCCTCTGTAATTAAGCATCATTTAAAATGACATTTTCCCCTGGTTTTAAGCACATCTGGACCAATTTCTACCAATTAATGAAAATCCCTAGAGAGACCTTTTTTGGGGCTGGTGAATAGGGTGTTCCCAAAGGTGAGGGCTTCTCAGGGGCCTGTGAATGATAACACACTGTGAAGGACTTCCTCTCTCAAAGATTTCTCATCTTACCAACCACTGATACCAGGGAGGATCAGAGGATGACAGCCAGCACCTTTACTGTGAAAAGCAAAAATAGCCTAAGCCTGTGCATGTGTGAAGCCTGGGTTTACCTCCAGCATTGGGGGAAGAATGATATGCCTTTCCTGTCTACACATCACTGTTTGATACTTGAAAGAACCACTGTGTTAGTCCAGAGGGCTGCCATAACAAAACTCCACAGACTGGGTAGTTTAAATAACAGGAATTCTTCATGGTTCTAGAAGCTGCCAGTGCAAGGCCAATGTGTCAGCAAGTTTGGTTTCTGACGGAGTTTTTTCCTTAGGCTGCACACAGCTACCTTCTTGCTGAATCCCCACATGGTCTCTCCTGATTTGTTTATTTGGGAGTGCTGGGAGTCTGACCCGGGTCCCTGAACAGGTAAGTCAAGTGCTTTACCATCAAGCTCAGCCTTGGCCCTGAATATCCTCGTGTTGGATGAGACCCCACCCTAAGGCCTTCATTTTAACTACACTATCTCTTGAAAGCCCTTATCTGCAAATACTGTTGTTTTCTGAGACACTGGGGGTTAGGACTTCCACATGCATTAGCTTGGGGGTACATAAGAAGCCCTTAACCACAGTTCTTCAGTGAAATACGAGTACTTAGGGGCTCTAGGTTTGAGGAACCCCAGCCATGACAGCTACCGGTAAACAAACACTCACCTCCCAGAAAACAGTGCCATCAGCACTGACAGTCACCGCTGTCAGGAATCTGCCCTTTCCCGGCATCCAACAAGTCACCAGCTGCACAGGCACTGATTGCCTGAAAGACAGGAGGCCTCAGTCCTCAGGGAAAGTCATGAAATCGCTCTGGGACTGTGGCCCAGGAGGGCAAGGAAGGATCTGCCGAGGTCTGAGGGAAGAGTCCTCTAAAGACGTTCTCTTGAAAGCCAGGCTGCTCAAAGGGTGCCTTTATTGCATTTTTGTGTGTATTTTTCTGTATCTAGACTCTAGTGCTCGGCATCTTTTTATATGTGGTCATTTATTATGGAGAATTTGCGGTTGCATCTCAAAGGTACTTTTTTTTTTTTTTTTTTTTTTGGCTCCCTACCCAAAAGGACATTCTGAAATTTAAAAGTGAGGCCCCTTCAGGCACTCACTCCCACTCCACCAAATTCTAAAATATTTGAAGACAGCTATAGTAGGTTGTATTCCCTCTTTCGAAACAGTCCAACTTTCTTACCCACGTACCCCGCAGTCCCAGCCGATGGAATGCAGGTGGTAGAAGCGAGCTGCATCCATGTGGGGCAGTTTCGTTCACCCTCTTTCTTTTCCCTCTCCAGGCTTTAGATCACATCTGCTTCCTCGGTGCTGGCCTCTGACTGAGACAATGGGGGCGGCGCCACCGCAGCAGACTTCTGATGGACAAGAGGCGTGAGTGACTCGTCGGCTGTTATTGTAAGCCGCGGAGGTTTTCAGGGTCACTTGTTCCTGGAGCATAACCATAATTTTCCTGATGGATTTGCCACTCCAACCTATCATTCTTCCACAAAAGTCAGTAAAAGATGGCTTTCTGAGACTCTGCCTGACTTTTAATGAGAGCTGAAGGTCCACGCCTCAGTGTGGGTGCTGACCGGTAGGTAAAGTCACTCGCCATCTGCGTGACCTGCTTCCACACACCACCGCACCCCTCACCTGCTTCACAGTCCTGCTTCACTGGCTTCATACCCCGGCTCTTTGAAGCCAACTAGGAAGGTCAAACATCAAGCGGCTATTGTATTTGTACTGAATGGGCATTCACTAAGTTCTTGTGAACTACTGAACATGTGGGGGGGAAGTTATTACATTATTATCAATAATAGATCTGCCCATTCTTTCTTTTACTTGAGGAGCATTGTTATTTAGTATTCTTCTCTTTTTCCTTCATTGCTTTCTTTATAATAATTGTATGGGTAATCCCAATAACAATTACAGCTATTGGTCTGGGATGTAACTCAATGGTAGAGAATATTTTTAGGTACATTGTACCATACACTCAATTTCCAGACCCCCAAGCTCCCTAAAAGAAAGGAAAAATGTAATAACTATAGCTATTATTTATTGACTTCATTTAAAGAAAAACCAAATCCTAGGGGCCTAGACTGCAAAGCTTGTCCACCCTCCAAGAAGGGACTCAATCATTCATTTTCCAGTGAAAATAGCTCATTTCAGGTGACTGTTATCATCATGTGGCCCGTCTTAATCATAGGTGAACGGTGGTGCTGGAGACCGTGACAATAGTGACTATTCACGTTTATCGAATGTCTGTAATGAGCTGGGTCTTTGCACACACTGTTACTAGGGCTGAGTGCGGGTGTTATTATGCTGTTTTGTCACTAGAAAATGAAGATTTAGAGATTCAGGAAGCTTGGTGATTAGCCACCCTCCGTTCATGCTCCATACAGCAAACATTACTGAGTGCTTACGGCGTGTCAGGAACCACCACTGACAAAGTGGCGGCGATAACTGACTCAGGGAAGGTCCCCGTGCTCACAGAGCTTGTTCTCCGGGGAGAGAGACGAACAAGGAACCAGTAAACGAAAAGACAAGATGGTTTCAGGTAGCGACTAATGCTACAAGGAAAAGAAGACAGGGTTACTGACCATCGTATTAGTCACTTTTCTATTGCTGTAAAACCCCACCATGACCAAGGCATCTTAAAAAAGAAAGCATTTAATTGGCCTTTATGGTTTCCAAGGATTGGAGTCCACAATGGTGCAACAAAGGCTTGGCAGCAGGTAGAGCTGGCTCAGAGCTCACATCTTGGCCTGCAAGCAGGAGGCAGAGAACACACTGGGAATGGCACTAGGTTTTGAAACCTCAAAGCCTACCCCCAGCGACATACTTCCTTCAGCAAGGCCACGCTTCCTACTCCTCCCCATACAGCCCCCAACTAAAAAGCAAATATTCAAGTACCCAGAATTTATGGGGGACATCTCATTTAAGCCACCACAATAATGATAAACAGAAATGGGGAGAATCACCCAATGGATGAAGAAGGATGAAGGAGACCTAATAATGAGAAGCTGACGGTAATGGTTTGAATGAGAATGTCCCTAGAGGTTCAGATGTTTGAATACTTGGTCCCCTAAGCTGGCGGCACTGCTAGGGTAGGTTTAAGGGGGTGTGGCCTTGCTGGAGGAAGTATGTCACTGGGTGTGTGGGGTGTGTGTGTGTGAGATTTCAAAGCCACACACCATTCCCAGTTTGTGCTCTCTGCTTCCTGCTTATAGTTGGAGGTAGGAGCTCTCAGCTGTTCCTGCATCCATGTTGGCCATCTGCTGCTATGACTCCCTCATAGGATTCGTATCACTTTGGAACTGTGAACCCAAGGAAACTGTCTTCTGTAAGTTACCTTGGTCATAGCAATAGAAAAGTAGCTAATACCATGACAGTACAAATACTTAGTGAAACAGCAAATGCCAAGGTCCCAAGGGAAAGGAACTTGATATATTCAGCAACAGTAACTGAGCTAGAATGCAAAGCTGGGTTATCTGGTTTTTACTTCTTTTAGAGCTATTGAGGTATTATTTTACATACCGTAAAAGCTACCTATTTAAATATATAGCTCATTGTTTTAGAAGTATGTCAGCTGGTACGTCCATCTCAACTATCCAATTCAAGAAAATTTCTGGTACCCCTTAAGAAGCCTGTAGCCACAGATGTCATACCTCATTCCTAATTCCTACTCTCAGGGAACCACTAATCTACTGTCTGCCTCTCAGGATTTGCACATCGTGAATATATTACATAAATGGATCCTGACGTGTGATCTTTTGTGACCAGTTTCTTTCATTTGGCATAGTGTTTTCATGGTTTCCCCCATATTGTAGCACTTACCAGGATGTATGTCTGTTTTTACATGGTTGTAACAGATTTTGTTTATCTGTTCTTCAGTTTATAAACATGGGTTGCTTTTACTTTTTTTGTCCATTATACATAATGCTGTTATGAACATTTATGTACAAGTATTTGTACATAATACAAACATACACATTTTCATTTCTCTTGGTATAGTTATGTCTAGGAAAGAATTGCCCGGCAGCTGTGTGTTCAGCGTTTTGAGGAACTGTCACGTAGGTTTTCAAAGTCACCATATCAGTCTACGTACTCAGTAGCATTATATGAAGGTTTCAGTTTCTTTGCATTCTCACTAACCATGGGCATTCTTGTGGGTGTGAAGATTGTATCTGGGGTTTTGACTTGTGTCTTTCTAATGACTAATGGTGCCGATCATCTGTCTGCATGCATGGGGGCCGTTTGTATCCATTTTTCTGATAAATGTTTATTCAGTTTTCTTGCTGATATTTTCATTTTTTTTTCCCCTGAGGCAAGGTTTCTCTATATACCAGACCAGGCAGGCCTTGAACTCACAGAGGTCTCTCTGCCTCTGCCTCCCAAGTACTGGGATTAAAGGTGTATGCCACCACTGCCTGGCTCAGTGGGTTATTTTTTTATAATAGAGGTTTGATAGGTTTTATGCACTCTGGATATAAGGTCCTTGTCAGATGCCTGCAAAGCTTATCTTTCCTTCTGTAATTTGCCCTTTTCTTTTTTCTTTCCTTTTTTGATTTTTTGAGATAGGGTCTCTCTGTGTAGCTTTGGAGCCTGTCCTGGAACTTGCTCTGTAGTCCAGGCTGTCCTCGAATTCACAGAGATCCGCCTGCTTCTGCCTCCCGAGTGCTGGGATTAAAGCGTGTGCCACCACGCCTGGCCCTGCCCTTTTATTTTCTTGATGGTGTCCTTTGAAACAAAAAGTTTGTTAAAATTATTCTTTGTATGTATATATGTGGGAATATACCATGGCGCACACATGGAGGTCAGAGGACAACTTTTGGGAATTAGTTCTCTTTGTCCACTGTGGATGGGTCCTGAGGATTGAAGTGAGGTCATTAGGCTTACACACCTATAAAGTCTGTTTATTTTTGCCCCACTGAGCTATCTCACTGGCCCATGAAACAGAAAATTTTTTACTTTTAAAATCCACTGGTCTATTTTTTTAAACTTTTGACACTTTTGTTTTGGATTTCCTTTTTGCAAGATTTTGCAGAGATTTTTGCAGACTCGCTTGCACCTTTGTTCTAGGAGATGTTTATTGATTTGGCTGTGGATGGAGCCCAGGGCCTCCCACGTGCTAGACACGTGTTCTGCCATTGAGTTGTATCTCTGTCCCAGGAAGGATTTTCACTTTTATGCCAGACATAGTAGCACACATCTGTAATCTCAGCACTCAGAAGGCAGAGACAGGAGGATCGCCACAAGTTCAGATCTGGTCTGTCCCACATAGCAAGTTTCAAGCCAGCCAGGCTACAGGCTACATAGTAAGACCCTGTATTAAATAATAATAATAATAACAATAATAATAATAATAAGTAAATAAATAAATAAATAAATAAAATAGAGCTGGGCACGCCTTTAATTCCAGCACTCAGGAGGCAGAGCCAGGTGGATCTCTGTTATTTTGAGGCCAGCCTGGTCTGTAGAGTGAGTTTCAGGAAAGGCTCCAAAACTACACATAGAAACCCTGCCTCGGGAGAAAAAAAAAAAGAAAAAAATAGAAAGAAAAAAAGTATAGTTTTAATTTTTACATTTAGGTCAGCGATTCACTGTGAATTAGTAATTTATTAATTTTTAATTAGAGTACAAAATAATGAGTTTCATTGTGACATTTTGACACATACACACTGTACTTTGCATAGTACGTGGGGGAGGGGTATAGTGCAGGGAGCCCCGCTTTACTCTTTTGCATGTAGATAATTAGCTGTCCCAGCACCATTTTTTAGAAAAATTGTTTTAGCTGAGCCCACACCACAAATCCTACAATCCCAGCTAATTGGGAGGCTGAGGCAGGAGAATTGCAAGGTCAAGACCAGCCTGGGATACAGAATGAGCTCGCAGCCAGCATGGATAATTTATTAAGACCTCATGTCCAAATAGACAGTGAGAGCTGAGGAGCAAGGGAACAGCTCAGTGGTAGAGTGATTACCTGGTGTATATGAGGTTCAGACCCCAGTGCCAAAGCCAAACAAACAAGCAAAACCCAACAAATTTCCTCTATTAAGTCGTTTTGGCATCTTGTCTAAAATTGACTGTAACGTGTTGGTTTATCTCGATACCATCAATTTTTTGCTGGTTTCTATAGGTACTCTCATACCTTATGTCAGATTATGTAGGTTTTGAAACTGGGAAATACTCATCTTCCATCTCTGTTCTTTTTCAAGGTTATTGTGCCTGTTCTGAGCTATACTTCCATATGACTTTTATAATCAGCTTGTCAATTTCTGTGAAATAAAAGATGTTGAAATTTTGATAGGAGTTGCAGCGGATGTCATTGCTAGCTTATAACAATACAATTGATTTTGCACATTTATTTCGTATCTTTACCATATTTCTGAACTTGATGTACTCTTCACTATGATTCATTGCTGCTTACTCACTGAGGCACCGTGCTAGACAGACACTACAGAAAATACAAAGATGGTCTAAGATGCCTACAGCACAGGTTAAACTTACTGGGTTCAGCAGTAGCCATGTTAGGAACAAACAGGAAGTGCGTAATTGCCAAATGAGTATTACAGAAAGTTAGAATTAGGAAAAGACAATTCAAGGCTGGAGAATCCTGGAAGAGACTGAGTAGGGAGGATGTGAGGGAGGGCTCAAGACTTGCTGTGCCCCCCTTCTCTTCTCTCTGCCTCCCTCCTTTCTTTTTTTGCTTTATTTTCTCCTGCCCAGTTTCTTTGAAAACACTGCTAGAACCTAACCAGAGATGGCTGCCATTCCTTAAAACTGGCTGATCATCAGAATTTCTTGGAAAGCCTTTTAAAATATAGATCCCAGTCTCCCCGACTGTGAGCTGCTGTGTCATGCTCTCAGATAATGGGGCACGGACAACTGCATTAACATTTTTATCTGATTTTCTGCCAACGTTGGGAATTTCTGGGTATGGTTATAATTATATCCACATGCGGTCCAGCATCTTTCCTCATCCCAGTGTACCTCTGAATCTTTTTAGGACACTCAAGTCCCGAAGGTCACAAGGGCACCTGGATAAGTGAGCCTGTATGGCTTCTCCACTAACGAAAACCACATAGATCACACACGTTTCTAAGAGGGTTCGTTAGTGTCTATGTTTATGGAGATGATTCGATATCTAAAACAAACATTCAGCCGGGTGGTGGTGCTCACGCCTATAATCCCAGCACTCAGGAGGCAGAGCCAGGCGGATCTCTGTGAGTTCAAGGCCAATCTGGTCTACAGAGGGAGTTCCAGGATAGGCTCCAAAGCTACACAGAGAAACCCTGTCTCAAAAACAAACAAACAAACAAACAAAAAACCATTCATCTCTCATAAGTAAGAGTTCAAAGGACCTCATCAGAACCTTTTGCTGTACTGGCTATGAGCCTCAGAATCACTTGTAGAGTCTATATCCACTATCCAGGAATCTTTTTGAAATTTTATTTCTTTATTTATTAGACAGGGATTATCATGTAACTCTGGCTGGTCTGGAGCTCACTATGTAGACCAGACTGGCGTTTAACTCACAAAGATCCATTTAACTCTGCCTTCTAAGTGCTAGGATGAAAGGTGTGTGCCACAACTCCATAACTCCTGACACACACACACACACACACACACACACACACACACACACACACACGTCTATATATCCATATATATATGGATATATAGTTTTTGTTTTTGTTTTTCTAGACAGGGTTTCTTTTTGCAGCCCTGGCTTTCCTGGAACTCACTCTGCAGACCAGGTTTGGCCTTGAATTCAGAGATCTACCTGCCTTTGCCTCCCTAGTGCCCTTTTAATATTTTTAAATAAAGAAAGTATCTGGTTTTCAAAGTCCTTTGCATCTCAACTTTCCCCAGAAGCAACCAATTTCTTAAAGATGCTTTAAACTACACAAAATACTAGTTTGGAGTGTCAAGCATGTATGTAAGTAGCATACATATTTCCCTACAGTCTTTTCCTCACCATCATGACTTTGATATTTATGTATATGACGCTAATAGAACTAACCTGTTCTTTATAACATGGTAATTTTATACTATGGAGCACTGAAAGACTATTACCCTGTTACATAATTACTTTAGACTCTAGTCTCCTGTAAGTAGAAATTCATCAGGTCAATAGTTTTGTTGTTGGTTTTTTTTTTTTGTTTTTTTTTTTGAGATTTTGAGTTTTCATGTCACCTGAGACACATGTAGGAATTTGGAGTATAAATTGGGGTGGACATTGCCAGGAAATGGATATGCACTTTTGACTTTACCAGATTGCTTTCGAGGTTACTCTGCACAGTAGCTGAACCAATTTTTCTCTCTCATCAATGATTTACGAGAATGTCTCTTGCTCCACATTGAGAACCAATACCATTAAGTTTCTAAAGTCAGTATCATGCTGGAGAGCTGGCTCAGTGGGCAAAGGAGCTTGCCGCCAAGCCTAACAACCTGAGTCTGATGCCCCAAACACACATAGCGAGAAGAGAAGACCGACTTCCTCGAGTTGTCCTCTGACCTCTACACTTGTGCTGTGGCCCCCACACACTGAATAAATAAATACATGTAAAATGTTTTTAAAGTATTAGGAAGTAAGCATCTACCTGGGCCTTACTCTCGGGTTCCAGTAGGGCAGCTTAAGAATATGGCTGGGAACAGGCTTCGGATGATTTTGAAGGCCTGAGGTCTTCTCTGCTCTGAATAGGCATCTGTACAGCCATCTGACACATTGACACATGAGTGTCAGTGACTTGTACGGCACTGTGACAGTAACATACCTGACGGCATCAACTTAGGGGTGGAGAGTTTTATGTTTCAGGCAACATGGTCTACTCTGGAGGGGAGACCATGGCCTTGCGGTTGGCTGGTCTTTTTGAAGATTATTCACATTGTGGCTGACCAGGAAGCAAAGAACTCAATAGGAAAGGGAGCTAGGCTGTAACCTTCAAAACGCCACCCTCAATGACTCACCTCTGCCAGTCACAGTTCGACAATCCCACAGAACAGCGCCACCAGCTGGCACCAAGTGTTAACTCATGAACCACGAGAGCCGGTTCACATTGAAAACTGTCACAGTGAGACTTCTCTGTGTTTGGTTAGACACATCCATGTTGGCTGTGCTTGGATCATTTAAGAAAGAAAGTGTGCTCAACAAACCTTGCAGATATATTTTTCTTTGTTTTTCCCTTTTCAGTTTCATTTTTTCAATTTGAGACAGGTGGTGTGGAAATTGCAATCCTCCTGCCTCGGCGGTTCAAGAGCTAGAATTATGGTTGTGCAGCACCAGGCCCTGCACTGCAGATGCATTTGCACAAGACAGTAGGATGTGATTTACCAGTCCACTGGGTGGTACTTAAAGCCCTACCTCTCTGCCAGCTACACTGATAGGAGGTGGTCCCTTTCTGGAAGCTCTAGATCCGCGTCAATGCTTAGGGCAGGGTGCATGTCAGAGATGCCTGCCAGCCCGCTGGGTGATGTCACTGTGTGGCTTTTTCAAAGCCCTGAGGAATCTGAGAGGCAAGTGAGAGGAATGATGCATGAAAACAAAAGGCAGTGGAAAGAGTGACCAGCCAGCAGGCTCCGGCAGGCTAGAACGCTCTGTCCTTGTTATTACTGCTTCGTGAAAATGCCGAGGGCCTTCTGGCAGGGTCTGCAGCAAGGTAGAGGCTTCCTGGGAAAAACAAGGAAGAGGGATGCAGAGTGGGAGGCTAGGATGCTGTTTCCCACTTCCCTGCTTCCCCATGGGTGTACCACGGGGAGAATGGGGACCCCTGTGCCCTTCGGTAGGTGTCTGCTGGCCTTTCCTCTGTCCTGGCTGCTTTCCCGAGAGGTTTTTTCCTCCCACTCAGAAGCAGCAAGCTCTGGTCTCAGAGGCCTAGCCGGGCTTGTCTGGGAGGGAGGCTGGGTGGTGCCTGCTCTCCTAGAGGGATCTGAAGGTCAGCAAAGGGAGGAAGTAGGGCCCTCATTCCTGGTCTGGGCATGCTTGTCACAAAGCGGTGTCTGTGGTTGGGGTGTCATTCGCTCCTGCTTGTTTCTGAGCTCAGAGGACCTGTGGTAACATTCTAGGGCAGCCTCGGTTCAGTATTCAGAAAAAGGGAAAGGAAGAGCGTCCATTTCTACTCCTTGGGTGAATTCTGGACTCACCAGAAGTCAACCTCCACAATCCCTCCTCAGAGTCTCCTTTCTTTGTCCTATAAAATACCTGATTTCAAAGAAGGGACTTAGCCCACATTCTCTTTTTGTTTTAAAAAGTGGTTATGAGGACAATGAATAAAAATAGGCCTTTGCGGATACAATAGGACTGAACAGGGTGTGGTTTGCTTGGCAACGGCACAGGCAGTTGTTTCTTTTGGTCTTGGAATGCTACAGACTTTGCCTCTGCCTGATGAAATCCTAAATAACCAGCTTCAAAGGGGCTCCTCGGGAGTGAGACTCCCATCTCTAGAGTTAATCATTCCCTTCTTTCTGATCCCCTCGCATTTCGCTCTTATGAAAAGGATTCGTTAGGCCGGTGTGTGAGTGTGTGTGTGTGTGTGTGTGTGTGTGTGTGTGTGTGTGTGAGTGAAGGGCTTGCTGCACAAGCGTGAGGACCTGAATTTGAATCTCCAGTGACCCACATAGAAAGTTACCCTGATGGTGTGTACCCATAATCCCAGCACTGTAGAAGCAGAGACAGGAAGATCCGCAGGACTTGCCAGTCTAGCTCTGGGACCAGTGAGACCCTCTCTCTCTCTCTCTCTCTCTCTCTCTCTCACACACACACACACACACACACACACACACACACGCACGCACAAATATTCATCATATTTTGTGATAATTGCTTCCTTGCCATTGTGCCTTATTGCATTTCCTCAGCATCTATAGACTCAGCATCATAGTTCTTTAATAAATGTTTATTATATGAGTCATAGTTCCTTGGTGCTTGTATTTCAGTCTCAGGTTTTTCTTTTTGTTTGCTTGCTTCTTTGCTGATTTTTTTTCAGTGCCCAGGGGCAGGTAGAATGCCCAGGGCCTCAAACACGCCAGGCGAATACTCTACCGTCATGCTGTACCCCCAGCCCGCTTCTGTTTCCTAATCCCTGGCCTCTTCTTCCTTGGGGTGAACCACTGGCAGTTTTAGTTCAGTGTGGAATAGAGGGCTCACTCAAATGAAATGTAATTTTTTTTTCCTGAGGAATTGTTCTAGTAGGAATAGTGTTTCAGATCTATCATTTCTGTTACAGGTACAGGAATTGTTTTCAGGAAACACTGCCATCATCACCTCTGAGAGGCAAGTTAGTGGTTGTTATTTTCCATTTACGGATGGGCAAATGGAAGCCTTCTTTCTCATTTACCAATTACTCCGCTCAAAGAAATGTCTGAGGAGTTTGATGGGCTCCCAAGGTATGAAAGGCAGGTTCTCGCTCTGAAGAAGGTCATACTCCTATGTGAATGAAGAGACATTTGCACGTGAACGCAACTGTGATTCAGGAGCCTAGGATGTGAAGTGCGGGAAGGGTCCTAGCAGATATTCCAAATGGACTGTGAAAGGTGAAAGAGCGTTGTCCAGCCCCCAGGACTGCGGGTGTCAGCATGCCATTTGAGATGAAGAAGAGTCCATGCTGCTTGTTGTTCGTTTGGCCTCTGTCGGTTTCTTGCGACGGCCGTAACAGATTAGTACAAACCGGTTGACTTACAACAACAGAATTGGATTTGCTCACAGCTCTAGAGGCCCCAAGTCTGACATGAAGGTTTGGGAGGGGTCAGCATCTCTTGAGGCTTGAGGGGAGGGGAGATAATCTGTCCCTCACTTCTTCCAGTTACTGATAGCCTCAGGCTTTCTTTGGCTCCTGGCCACTCCAGTTCAAGCTGTTTCTGTGGTCACATGACCTCCTTGTCTACTGTGGTACAATTCCCCTGCTGCTGCTACTCCCTTGTAAGAATGTGTGCGGCTGCACTGAGGACCCACCCAGAAATGTGGGATGAGCCTCTTCTCTCATGACCCTCAATTGCAGTCTTATCTTTTGTCACAGGATGTAGTAAGTACCCTTGGGTTCTGGAGATAGGCAGTGGACATTTATGGGGTGGGGAACAGGGAACCACCATACTGTTCTCTGCCCTGGGCTGTATTAGGTCACCTGTCATTCCCATGCTATGCCACCTGGGTTCCATTGCCCTCTGGCTAACCTTGGGCTTTCCAATGGGAGATATTAGGAAGGATCAGAGAGTAGGAGGAAGACACTGAGGTTTCTCTCTTCTTTCTTTAGCAGGGTGCTTGTGATGCTCTCGGGAAAACCATGTTCTCCACAGTTCCTGTTCTTTCAGGCTTCCATTCCTCCTTCTCTGCAGCCCTGGCTTCTTCCACTGCTAACCTGTGAGTGCCTAACACCCTAGTGACCCATCACTCTGCCTCTTATCATGTGAAAATGGCCGAACCACCTTGTTTTCAAAGTCTCAGTTGACTGTGTCTTCAGGTTCCTGCCATGATCTGGGTTGATAGAAATCTCAAGAGGTGACATTTTCATTTCTAGAACAGAGCTAAACTCAGGGTACCACGAGCTAAATTGAGGCAATGACCAGTGGGCACTGTCTGGCATACAGCTCAGCTGTCCCTGTGGGCCCTCCGGTAGTGAAGTGCTGTTTCTGTACCCTACTAATGTCTTGCTGTCGTGCCTCATACCTCTGGTGGCCTTGCTTCGTGGTACTTTCTATTATTATTTTTTTCCTGCCTCTCAGCCTCTATTTCCCAATGGTGTCTGCTGCCCCCTGACCGTGGTCATCCTCTTCTGTGTACCATTTAGGTTCTGCCCACAACAACAGCTGACTCCCTCGAGTACATCTCATACCCTGTTCCTTAAAGGGGGCTAACTGGCTTGGTCAACAACAGTTCATGGAAGACCTGGAGCGCCAGGCTTCTGCTGTTGTTACAGAGCCGCCAGAGAGTGGTTTTAGGAGGGTCTCTGGGCATCATTTTCCGAACAGTGAGAGTTACTAAAGGCTTTTGAACATGGTGGAGCAAGATAAAATTAGTCTTAGGACTACTCACTTGCTGGCAATAGTCAGTGTGAAAACAAAGATAAATTAAAAAGCAACTCTAATAGTCTAAATGAGAATAATGGGCACCCATACCTGGGCAAGGGGAAGGCTCCTGTGAGACACTCAGGAAAGGAGGTATGCAAGAGCGAGGCCGGTTTGAGTTCCTGGCTTTGAATTTTTCGTTTCCTTTTCTTTTTCTTTTTTCTTTTTCTTTTTTTCTTTTTTTGCACCAAGAACTCTTTCAATAGTTTTCTTTTCTTTTCAAACAAACTGCACATCTTTATGGGAACTACGTAAATATCACTAGGTGTCCTGATAATGACAGTATGATTTTTAAAGATTTGTTTTTATCTTTGTGTGTGTGTGTGTGTGTGTGTGTGTGTGTGTGTGTGTGTGTGTGTGTGAAGGACATTATTACCAGCTATTACATTTGGGAACACACTCAAGAGAATACAAGAAGCAGTGGTCCTACAAAGAGAAAGAACTTGAACTTGAATATTTTATTTAGTTCAGGTTTCCTAGACAAACAGAACTCAAACTAAACATAATGCCATGTTTTATTTAGGAGATGCAATCCCGGGGCAGTGAGTGTGAGAGGAAAGGGGGAGCAAGAAGACGACAGATGTTCTGCCAGAGGGTGCTTGAGCAATCCACACAAAGACTGTCTGCCTCCTCGAGTGGCCTTGCAGAATATTACTGTGCTAGATAGAGGATGAGCCCATACCTCAGATAAGCTCCTGGGAGGGGGAGACCAGGAAGCCATCTTCCTGGGGCCTTCCCCTCTCCTGTTTGCCAGTGATAGAAGTTCATCCCACCTCACCTCTCTGCCACTGTTAGTTAGCTTCTTAGGGAGCTACAACCGATACTCTGCAGTGCAGCCTTTAACCTTGGTTGAGGAGCACAGACATGCTAGACACCTGCACCAGTGCCTGCTGAGCCTGGTCCCTCAGGGCAAGCAGGGCAGGGCGGGAGGGGAAGCAGCTCTGGGTTGCAGGACTGTATGGGCTACAAATGGAGCGAGTCACGGGCAGTCATGGCGAGACAGAATAAGCAACGGAAAGTTGGGGGGATAATAGAAAGGGACTCTGACAAGCCCCTGAGTCATGCCTGATACCCCGGGAGAGGAGGACGAGGTAGAAAATGCAGTTATGTTCAACAGGCACTTCAGAACTCAGAACTGGAACCACTCCAGAGAGACAGTCTTTTGAGGGCTCCAGAAACAATAGCACTTTATAGTCCATATCTGATTAATCCTAGACAGCATTGACTAATGAGGTAGGAACGTGGGCTCTGGAGCCAGGCAGAGATGTGCTTAAGTTCCCCTGTGTGTGCAGTGGGCAGTTTACTCACCCTCTCTAAGCCTTAGTTTCCTCCCCTTTACATGTAGATGGTCCTAACAGTCAGTTCATGCTGGAGAGCATTTGCCTATGCTCAGTCTACAGTAGATGCTAAATAAACCACAGCTTCGCTGTCCCTTAACCTCACTCTTGGATGGTTGTGTGACTTCACCAATATTCTCCTACCCAGACAAACTCTCCTGTGCAGTTCCTAAGTGTCTCCTGCATATGATGAGGTTTTCTAGCTTGAGTCCTTCAATTATTTTCAAGGGCAAGTGCCTCCCTTGGGGTCATGTGGTCATGGAGTCCCACAAAGGCTCGTAGCTCCCTTCAAGGGACACATTGGGCCCTAAGAAAGCAGCATGTTAACTCATCCCCATTGGTATACAGACAGGACATATCTGAAATAACCATCTGCTCTTTACGCCTTCAAAGTGGGAAGGCACCTGGGTGCTTTCAAAAGACACAGAAAATACAGGGGCCACATAAGGAAAAACGTCCTTGTAAGACTTTAAAGGTTCTTTTTTAATGGATATCAGTGTGTGCCTGTGTAGGTCTGTACGCCATGGGCATGCAAGTGTCCACAGAGGCTAGAAGAGGGAGTCTGGTTCTCTGGAGTGATAGGCAGTTGTGAAACCTTGATATGGGTGGTGGGGACCCAACATGGATCTTCTGCAAGGGCAGTATGTGTTCTTAAGCACTGAGATACCTTTCCAGCCCTAAAACTTTAAAAGGTGATGGGAGGATGGTTGCTAATTATTAAACATCATCCAAACTTTTATTCCAATATCACTCCCCGCTTCAATTTTATAGACAGAATCTCACTATATAGCCCTGACTAACATGGAATTCGCTATGTAGATCAGGGTGACATTGAATTCATAGAGATCCACCTGCTTCTGCTTCCAAATGCTGAGATTAAAGACATGAACCACCACGCCATGCCCAATATCACCCTTTAAGTGACTGCCAGTCCTAATTTAAAATTACAGTGACCTATCCCTACTTTAAATTGTTTTGTCATTAGCACTTAACTTTTTTGCATATAATTTACAAATTTGTTGCTTTTTCATCCATCTATCCCAAATAGAGTGAAAAAATATTCATTTTAATCTCTGATGTACCCCAGGTGCCTAGAACATGTCATAAAACAGTGGTCCTTAATACCATAATCATGAACCTCCTATTAAGATTTGGGTTAAAAATTAAATAAATTAGGAGCTGACAAGATAGCTTAGTGGTTAGGAGCATGCTCTTGCATAGGACCTACGTTCAGTTTCTCGCACAAATGATAAGCAATTCACACTTGCCTGTAACTCTGACTCCAGAAGATCTGAGGCCCTCACATGGTGGACATAAATACATTCTCTCTCTCTCTCTCTCTCTCTCTCTCTCTCTCTCTGTCTCTCTCATCCATCCGTCCATCCATCCATCCATCCATCCATCCATCCATCCATCTATCCAACTATCTATCTATCAATGGAATGCATGTATAACAATGACCCATAAGATTATATGGTTTAGTAACATGGCAGCCATCTGAGCTTGTGTAAGAAGACTCTGCAATAGTCTCATAAGGATGAGATTGCTTCTCTACCCTGTCTTAGAACATATCCCTTTGTTATTTGTGGAAGGAATGATCACACTGTTTGGGGGTGAACAAAGCTGGAGTCTGCTTGGAGATTAATTCCCAAAGAGCTTCCTGATAGGCATGTGAGGTGCTATGTGTTCCCAGAAGTTGAATGGTCATAACCACCCTCCTACAATATTGCTTAAGGGATTGATCAGCAAACTCTTTGTTCCCCAAATATCTCTAAAGTTAATCTTCAACTGAAATGTAGGTCAAATTATCTGAATTAATGACTTTGATCAACTCCTGATTAACTGCTCGTGAACTCTGTGGCAACATGACTTATCCATCATGACCCAGGAGTCTTAACCTATCATCAGGATATATACAGAACTAATAACATCTACTCTCAATCAGGTAGGCAGCTATGTTCAACCTATGAGGCCAGTTGCTCATCTACAGCATGGTACAGATAAGTAAATGAAGTCGACAGAGGCCCCAGATCCGGAATCAAATAGACGTACAGATTTCAAACCCTCCATTCCCAAAGGCTATGGTTTTTCTAGTATCTCCTTTTAAGCCTCCATTTTTCCTTCATAATATGTAGCAATGCTATTTATGTGCAGAGATGCTGTGACAATTAAATATATGTAAAGCAGAATTCTCAGCAGATGACAGCATTCACTGTGGCTGTACTTTAGGAATGATAATGAGTCTTTTCCCTTGGGGAACAATCATGAGACCTCTCCGGGGAGAAAAACAAGAGCCCTGACTTAGTGGATGACAGAAATAGAGTCTATAGAGGTGGGTGTGTTGGAATAATCATGTCTAAACATCCAACTTTGAAACAAGTTGAAACCCTTACTTAGGAGTTGACCAAACAGATATGATCGCCTAATTAACCATGGACTTTCAGCCTCCAAAACTATGAATCAAATAAACTTCATTATAAAGTATCCAACCTCCTGTATCTTGTTATTGCAACAGAAAATGAATTAATGCAAGGCCAGAAGCACCCCATAATCAAAAATATCTGTGGATATTGCTAACTGTCAATCTTGGGACACTGGACTAGAGAAAAAGAATCAATGGCGATGTAAGATCTTAGCAGGGGCTGGGGGGATCTAGCTCATTTGGTGGGGTGCTTGCCTAACATGCTCAAAGCCCTGGCTTCCGTCCCCAGCGACACAGACTGGGGATGGTAGTTAGTGCACATCTGCAAAGCACTCAAGGGGTGGAAGTAGGAGGATGAGGAGTCCCAGGTCATCCTTGGCTACACAGGGGGTTCACGGTCAGCCTGGGCTACAGAGGACCTCATCAAAGAGAGAAAGCAAGCAAGACAAGGAAAGAAGAAAGAAAGAAAAGAGAGAAAAAGGAACAAAGATTGATCTTTGGGAAAAGGGAAAAATGTAGAAATTATTATATGAACTT